TGTGTTCTTTAACTCATCGTTTCAGTGTGGCAACTGCTCTTACTACCCTTGACCAATCAGAGAATTTTTGTAGGCGGTCCAATAATGATCTGCCTTCCTTTGCTTGAGTGAACTTCGGTCCAATAATGATCTGCCTTCCTTTGCTTGAGTGTTGCAAACAAGAGTCTTGCGAAGTTCAGGATCATCCTTCTTGATTTCTCCCACCTTGCCTTCTCTGTCAGGTAGTTTTGGTCTTTCCTCCTTGAATGGTAATGGCATTTCGTAGTGACCGGTATCCTTTTGTGTGATGTTCTTTCTCATCTTTGACAGGAACCTTAGATCTTGTGAAACAGGAACATCTTCTCCAGCTCTTTCTGGGAAGTCTGACTCAAGAACTCTCATGATTTCTGAGGGAGTCATTTCCTTTTCTTCTGTTAGATTCACATAGTGTACTTGAGTCTTGAGATTGAGAGAAGGCTCGACACTTGGCGTCACTTGTCTCACTACTATGCGATGGCTAATTCCAATGACATCGCCGTAGTCCATGCAGGGGTTCCCATGGCTGACGATACTCCATCCAAGGTCAGTACACTGCACATAAGGCTGTTTTTCCTTGCCAGATACAACTTCTCTTGGAAGTGGAGCTTGTGAGCAATTATACCCAATGAGCAAACCTACTTCGCAATCCTGTAAAGGTGCAATTCTTCCTTGGAGATGCTCTAAATGGGGCCAAGCCTTTGCGGTTTCATGTGTTGGTATGTGAGTTCTGTTGGCAGGGATAAAGTCACGTGTGTAGACTGGTGGTAAGGAGATTGTCTCTTACTCTTTGAGAGCTTACTACTGTGGTTCTTGAGGTTGTAGTAGAGAGATTGAGCTTAAAATGTTCTTTGTTTGCTTCCAAGGCTTCGGCTACTTCACTTAAAACAAATGTGTCACTTTGTGAATCTAACAAAGCATATATGAGGACTTCTTGGGTTGGCTGAAGAGTTGATGAAAGCCAGCCAGGTATTATTGCAGCTGTTTGTGTGTTAGCTTCTTGAAGTATCACTCAGTGATTCTCTTGATTCTTCTCATGCAAACAGGTAGGATGCCGCTTCTGGCACATGTCACAGGTACTCCTGTTGCTGCAAATATTTGAGTGGTGACCAGACTTGAGACATGCAAAGCACAGTCTTTCAGCTTGAACAAATTTGATTCTGTCCGAAACTACCTTTCCCATGAAGTTCCGACATTTGTGCAAAGTATGCCCAGTCCTTTTACAAAAGATGCATATTGTTACAGTCTGTTCATTAGACTTTGTGGTCAGTGTCTTTGCTTCAGAACTCCGCTGTCTGTGGCACTTTGATTTCTCAGCTTCACCTTGCTTCAGGGATGCAGGCGATTTTCGCTTCCCTTATCAGAAATCTGACAAATTGGCTGAAAGAAGGGAACTGGTGGCTATCTTCTTCCACTTCAACAACCTTCCGGTCCCATCTTGCCATTAACCAATCTGATAACTTTGAAAGAATTTTCCTGTTCTTATTACATTCGTTCAAGATTTCTAAAGCCTTAATGCGGTCTATGGCAGCCTCGCAACTGTGGAGAAAGTCGGCAAACTCTTTGAGCTCAAAGCTGTCTTTAGATCCTATATTGGGCCATGCTTGGAGCTTGTCTCTGTAAGACTTTGCTAATGTAAATGAGTTTCCATATCGTTCCTACAAAATCTCCCAAGCTGCATCATAGGCAGATTCTGTTCCAAGTAGAAAATAGCCATCAAGTGCTTTCTTAGTTTGTCCACAAATGTATCTACGGAGGTAGTATATTTTGTCCTTGTCTTGAATGTTCTTCTGATTAATCAGTGTTGTAAAGGAGAACTTCCAGTCATTGTATTTCAATGGATCTCCACTGAATACTGAAGGTTCAGGAACTGGAATTTGGTTGGCACTTAAGGCACCTGTTAGTGAAAGCACAGCAGAGCTTTTAAAGTACTAGCGGAGGTGGCTACAGCTTGTGCGGTAGAAGACACAAGCAGGGATAGAGGACTCGCGGGAGCTTGCACTTGGGGATTTGTTAACATCTCATGATCTAATGTGTCTGGCTACTCTTCTATGGCTGTTGCTTGATCATACAGCAGGATTCTCACTCATGCTGCGTTAAGCTCTTTACTTCCTCCAAATGTTGTATCCTTTTCAGTTTCTCATCCAGAGTTCTTTGTAGAGCCAGATGCTCCTCTTTTAGTTGTGCTTTAAATTTAACTTCCTCTTCTTCTCTCTTTATTCTTCGGTTCACCACTTCAGCTTCCTGGTGTAAGCGATGCTTTACAACTGCTGCCTCTTCATGAGCTACCTTTCTTTTAACTTCTGCTTCTAGATGCTGTATTTCCAGTTCTCTTTCTTGCTCTTGTAGCACTTTTAGAACAGCTTGGCTTGCAGCAGCATTAGCAGCAGCTTCTTGTTGTCTTGAAGATGACCTACTTGAATGCGCTGAGGTTCCCTTTGAGATAGAGGTGACAGAACCTGATTTGGAAGTACTTGAGTTGAAGAGAGGCCCTGCCTCAGGCCAATCTTGCTCTTCCCTGCTAGGATCTTTTCATCTAATTGATTTGAGGCTCTGCGTACAATGAAAGCAGAAGTCTCTGCAAACAGGTCCACTCTGTGACGCACGTCCTGATCTGGAGTTGAGAGCTTGCGCAGTTCTTCATAAATATGCTGAACATCTGTAGACAAACCTTTGACATCACCAATGATGTCATTAAGCAGTTCGGCAGATAAAGGCTCTGTTGATTGTGATAAGGGCTGTTTAGATTACTTAATTTGTGTTCTCCAGTTGTTGTAAACATAGTCAAGCATTTTAGTTTTTTCAGCTTGCAATTCTCTGCCCTTCTTAGTTAGAGTTCTGACTCTTTGACTTCACCTTGGATGCTTCACTTCCTGGTGGTCTTCAGCACCACTCACTTGATCTTCTTCGGGTTGATCTTCTTAGGCTATCCCTAACCTGAATTATGGACTCATTTGGCTCTGACATTGAGTTACTGCCTTAAATTAGCCCACCTTATAAACAGGAAATGTGCATAATGAATGAAATCTCTGCATCACCCTTTAACACTTGTTCAAATGTAAATTTCACTTAATGTAAATATCTTTAAGCTTAAACAAGTCTAATACCTAAATTCAGCTTGGGATATTACCGTTCAAATAGTCAATATATAATATGTCAGAAACAGAGAAAACCAATATCAAATGGCAAATAGCTTCCACATAACCTATAAATCCCAAACACTATAGAATGTTGAACAGGGCAATGTTTTGTACCCCCTTAACCTTAGCACTCTTCAGTTGAATTACACAAATGACTACATCAAACAGTTACCACACACATCTGCATAACTCCTGCTCACAGTAAATCTTGGCAAACCTTAACAGAGGCCCTCTTATTGGATCACTCTTAACTTAATAGTGTCGAAGGTCTTCATGACTTGTTACTCTAACCTGTGTCCACCTCCTCCTTTTTATGCATGTGTGCAGTGTGTGGTTTTGGCTCATCTGTGAGTCTCTTGAAGTCCGCTCCATGCACTGCACCAAGTCATAACTTGCCCGCCAACCCTTTGAATTCGATGCGCTGTTGCTTAATATCCACTTGCGTCATTGGACAGTAGAGTTTTCACTGTAGTTCCCCCGAGGCATATGCTGACAAGTGGTTTTCTTGCTACTGGTTTATCAGAAGACGTCTCTCTCCCAATTCTCTGTAAAAACTAAACATATACAGTTCGACAGATTACCATAATGTAAAATGCTAACATGAAAGAAAGGAGGTCATTTTCGGCTTTTCCCGTTTAGGGGTCACCACAGCGGCGAGAGCGCTGCGCCTTAACCACTAGTCTACCAGGGACGGCTTATAATAATTTTACCAAAGTAAAATACAGAAAACAACACAAATACCTCTTTGGCTGCATGTCACAAAAGAACAGCTGAGTCCTTGCTCCTTTACATATTTTTTATATTCTTCTTTCTCATTAATATCCATGACGATGAGTACCAATCTTCCAAAAGGGCAGACGAATGTCCATGCTTGTGATAGCTTGAGTCTCTGACTCGAGAATCCTATTCACATGAGAACAGCTCAGCGTGACTTGTACCTAACAGTGACCTTCAAAATACTAGTACCAAAGGAAATAATAACTAAAGCAACTTAAATTCTAAATCATGCCTTGTAGAAACAATAAACAAGTATGCATAATTTTGTATAGTATTGATAACCGTTACAGGCAGTGCACATTGCATTTTGAAAAGGGTGGGACTTCTTCGGTTGGCTACTTTCTCTTGCTGGTTTTTCCAGGATCACCAAGAACCTGGACTGTAGTTTATCCTACAAACATTGCTGCCATGAAGATTTGCTACTGCACTAAATGTGTATTAATCCACAGCTGAAAATAGTCCCCCAAAATCCACCATTTACTCCCGTTTGAGTTTAACAGCCGTTTTAGAAAATTAAGCCTTTTGTTTTTAAGTATCTTCGTGACCTAAAGAATTACATATTCTGTAGGAACCAGTGAGCGTAGTGCTGAGCAGTACAGTTCAGAACATTATCCACTAACTAGGTCAAGAGAAAATAAAAAAAGTGATTCAATCTCTACCCAAACATTTCCACTCCAATTCACACCAGGACAATAGGCATCAGGCCACGTGTGAAGGTTCAAAGACAGGCAATAGCTCTCACCGATACCAGACCCTAACAACTCAGTCAGAGGACATTGTTGGCCGTCAAAGGACTGAAACACCTCCCGCTCACCACCAGTTGGACAGAACTGATGAAGCCTCTTGGATGAGAGGTGAAACATCTTCTACCTAAAACTACGTCCCGATGCTTCCTTCTAAATTTTTTCAGCATACTATGACCTGGATGACTGAGAATTTGCACGGACTTTGTGATAAAAATTATATCTTCTACCATTATCGCTACCTTGCCTTCAATTCTCCCAACCCTCACAATCTGAAAAGGATTTTAGCTTTGCTATTCATGCTGTTCTATGGCATTGTCTGCAGGTGATTCCTCAGGCCAGTGTGGGAGAAGTTCATCATGTCATCCGCACAACTTTCCAGAGAGTCAGCGACTTCTTCATTCCTCCAACCAACCTCATCATCACTCACGTGAGGTAAAGCAGCAGACACACACCTACATTCGACCACCTCTGACCTTAAAATGCAGGGAACCTCATGCTCACTCATTACAGCTGTCCTTCTGAAGTGAAGGAGAAAATAAATTAGAATTCTAATGACAGTGTGTATTAATCACTGCCCACAGAAATCTAGAAAGGCTATTAACCTTTTCTTTGAACTTTGTCGATTTAGGTTTGCCTTTGTCTTCCTCAAAAACGAACCTGCACTACACAAGATTGACCTGGAGACCTTCCACCGTGTCAAAACCATCAGCCTGAAGAATTACAGCTGCATACCAGTCAGCATGGCCTACACACACCTGAGCGGCTTCTACTTCATCCAGTGCCAGAGCAAGAACCACATGCAAGCCCCTCCCCAGCTTCTCATTGACAGTGTGACGGACACTGTGATTGGTCCGAACCTAAACATCACAGGACAACCCTTTGTTTCACCGGACGGCCGCTACATTGTGACACCTGAGCCACAGCGCTCAAAGCTGGTAGTTCAGACTGTGTCATTCCAGGGGGAGCTGGGTCTGAACCAGGAAATGGACAAGCCTGTAGAGGTCTCCGATCTGGTTTTCCAGCCCTCCTTCACCGAGCCCAACCAGCATGTGGTGGTGGCCACCTCAGGCTCAGGCACGGACCTGCTGTTTGCAGACCTGTCCTCGGGCCGTGTTGAGGTTATCCAGAGCCTCAAGGATCCTCTATCTCCACGAGCCTGGCCCTGGGGAGGCCCCAACAGAGTGGTGGTCTCCAGTGGGATGTTTGGACAGTATCTGGTGACACCGTCAGCTGAGTCCCTCTTTGTCCTGAACGGCAAACAGAGAACGCCACACTGCGAGGTGTCAGACATCAAGAGAGGGAACACAGCTGTCTGGGTCGGTGAGGTATGAGTCGAAACAACAAAGCAGGAGACGTAGAATTAGGGAAAGCTGTAAGTGGGGGAAAAAGGGAAAGATCAGGCCAAATTACCTATTATAAAGATTTGTCAACATAAGTTGTGGACTCAACCCTGGGACCGAGCAAGAGGGAAGCACGCCTGGGTTTACTATAACAAAAGTACTTAAAAATAGAGTAAGTAAGAAAACATTGAGGTACCCTGTTGTGATATTTCTACTGGGAGAAAGTGTCAATGCCGTTCAGTGCAACAGTGATCTATGTGCACTTAACTATACAGAATTGTAACATTATTGCACTTCCTTCCATGTTATCACAGCAAATAGGTATCAGAAGAGGGGTTATTAACACACTATGAACTATGCACAATGCTCACTTTTTTAGAGTAAAAAGCTTTCCAGTTTTGTTTGTTTGTTTTCACCAGTGCTGCATATAATCAACACAAACTGTCTGCCTTTAGTGTCTGTGTGTTCTGAGTCCTTTAAAAGCTACCGACCTGTTTATTCACCCTTGTCATGGTATTGTACTGTGTTCTCTGAAAGCTTTCATTCTCCTGCTGCCAGCACAGGCTGGCTTTATGCACATGTGTAATGCCCTCTAGTTACATCATCTATCCAAAGAGCCCAAATGGTCTATTAGCCATCAACAATGGATGTCTCACTCACAGAGGAAGCCTAACCAGAAATGAACAATACATCTTATGGTCTTGCAATGGTATAACAGTCCCCCGCTGTCTTCCTCAGTTATTCTGTACCTGCAGCACAACTCTGTGCTGTGGAGCCTGAAAATGTCACTTACCAGATTCCCTCAGGGTAATAACTCCAGTTTACGCTGACCCACATGCTGAGGCCGTGCCAAAGTGGCATCAGCTCTGCTATCTGACTGGCTGTGAGCATTTGTACATCCTCTCCAGGAGCCATGCATCAAATCCAAGGCCAGGTAGACTTGTACGACTGTAACAAAAAGGAGCTGCTTTTCTTAAAAGCCTGTTGGATACATTTTCATAGACCTTAGCAATATGTAAACATGTTTCCTGTTTCTAGGAATAGTTACTAATTGTTAAATTATTAAAATGTACAGGTTTGTTAAACCTCACTCTTCAAAAGTTGCATCCCAACTTTTAAAGCCCCCATATTGTCTGTCCCGAGGCAGTAACTGAATAAACAACAGCATCTCTCATATCAAAACGTCTGAAACTGTCTCTGAGGTTGAACTTTAGCTTTTAATTTGCTTTGGCCACTTGTACTAATCATCATTACCATGATCCATTGGCTGAAAGAGAGGGAATGCTGCTGTCTCTGCAGATTGAATGACAGTGTCAAATTACTGGGACGGGGAGTTTTAGGATTATGACTTTTTCTTTTCTCCTCATTATGCCATGTACCCCTGTTCTCGGCCTCAAACTACATCTGATACATGAATGTCTAACATTTATCTGTCAGTATCATGAAACATCCAAAGATTTTTTTCTTATAATGTAAATTACAAATTATATTGAGAGTTAAAATTTGTTTTCTCTTTAAAATACACATGTAGCTTATTGTTATAAAAGCTTGTTGCCAGGTTTTAAATCTGCTTGTCTGAGAATTAAAGCAGCATCATTCTCACAACGTATTTCTAAAATTTGCTAGTTTTCGCTGTCCAACAGCTTCTCCAGCGAGCACAGAGCAGCTGGAATCAAAATCGTAGCCCATCGTCAGCAACACGACTTACTACTATATTAAATTAACTAAAAAGTAATGTAATATACACTCAGTTTACTAGGTGCACCTTCAATTTTTGGAGATGAGAGTTTAGGGCTTCACGATTATGGCAAAAATCATAAACACGATTATTTCAACCAATATTGAGAACACAATTGTTTGACAAGATTATTCATCGACTTTGGAAATATCATGCACTTTTTTGGACTTGAAAACGTCTTTTAACGGGTTTCTTTTTATATGATTCAATAATTTCATCTGCCCTACTGTGATTGACAGTTCAGAGGAAATTAATACTCTAGATTTATTTTCCAAATAAATCTTTGCTACTTCAGGTTAACACGCGCTGCTGGTGCATGACAGACTACGAGCAAAGCTGAAATGATCTATCCCTGTAAGGTTATGCTCGTTTAGCGGGTGTTTTGTTACATTACTCTTATTGAGTTTTTACTTGCAGAGGTTTTATTGCACTACAGTAACGAGCCGACGGTAGGTCTTGTCAGCCTTCGTGATGTTTCACTTCACCTGATGCGAGCAAAAAATGGTCGCACTGTAGAGCATTGAAGGGGTGCAATGGATATAAGAAGACAAAATGAGAGCATCATAATGTAACGGAGTGTGGCACAATAATTATTTTATCTCAGTTTTTTTGTTTTCATAATATTTGGAAGCCAAAATCATAATTTGCATAAGTTTTAGGCAGGTCTACCTAATAGCTACCAGCTGAGGGCAGAAACAGCAGCAGCTGGTAATGGGGCCGATTTAGGCATGTTTTAACAAATCTATCAACTAAAATAAAGGCAATCACAATCTGATAATCTCTTTGCTGTGTTTTGTCCACCTCAGCCTGTTGCCACATTGCTCTCACCTTTATGATAATCAGGCTCTAAAATGTGGAATTTCACTGCATGACTGCATGTGAACAATGATTTACTCTGTTCTGATTATAAGGCTGCACCTGTTATTTCTATGGGTGGGGAGACATATTTAGCTAAATACAGAGCTATGCAATATTAAATGCCCACAATCAGGGCCAACTAATGAGAAAAACTTGGGATATCTTTCAGTATCTTTAGCTAAAATGTCACTGAAAATGACCTTGGGACACAGAGTATGTAATCACTGCACAAATACTCACAGCCTTTGGGATTTTGCACTTGCTGATCTTTTTTGGCAGTTCAAAAAAGTCTGAAAGAGAAGAGAGATAAAAGTCACATTTACCACTGAAGGCCTAGGCCATACACAGACCAAGAAGTCACAGTCCAACTTTAACATGTGCAAAAAGTCTGTCAGAGTTTAAGAAACGTGTACCACTGTAAAAACCAGCTGGAGTCTTGTGAATGAAGTATATTGCATCTGCTAATGTGTTTTTCCCACAGACAGCCCAGATTAAATATTAAACATCTTCTCCTAATACGTAGTTGTGCCTGTAACTCCCTGATGCAACGCAATGTTTAGGGTAGAAACTGTGTCAGAAAAAGAAAAGTAAACACAGGTGTGAAGCAGATTTGTCGTTGTTCGTGATTTAGGTATTTGCTGCTAATCTGCCATGAAAACCTGTTGAACCTTCTGAAGGCAATGACCTAATGATGCTGATGATGTTTCCTAGACCACTGTTGCACTGAGGAGAGAAATCCTTCTGATGTTATAATATCTGAGTGGAAATTTGTCAAAGTGCTAGCCCAGTTTTCAACAGAAAAAAAATGACTGTTAAACGATTCAGGCTCTGACACTTCCTAAAGTCTTTGTCCCATCCAGTCACCCTCCAATGGCTCTAAACAAATGATCCACACTATATTCAACAGCTCCAAGACTCGCATGTAATGAAAGCAGATCTTCAACATGATTATCACTGACCTCTCAGTTACACACAGTTTACGGTTGCTTGTGAAAAGTCACTTTTTCTGCCCTGTCATTGTCGCGTCTGTCAGCTTCTCTCTTAAGGTCGATTCAGCTGTACAACATTGCTACTAGCACCAAGGAGAGCAACAACAAAGAGACTGCATCTGCACTTGCTGATACGACGACATTATTGGCTAGCTCATGTTGTTCGTTTGGATCTACCGTCCGTGTCAGATGACTGTTTCTGTACCTCTTCTTTAACCCTTAGGAACCACTGTTGTAGATAACACTGTTCATGTTCAGACATGACAAAACTGACTGTACAGTTTTCTTTATGCATTTTGTGTGTTCTGGTTTATGAGGGAATTGTTTTGTAAGAAAAAATCCAATTAAATATATTGTAAAAATCAGCCATTTTACAGTGTCATTGAGGTGCAGTAACTATTGGTTTTGAGATCCATTATTCTGCTCATTTAGTTTTGGAAAAGTCAAAAGTAGTAATAGAAAAATGGTGATGACTGATTCTCAGAGTTCAAGGTGACGTCTGCCTTAGCTTGTTTTGTTTCGACCAACAGTCAGAAACCCAAAAATATGTCATGTGCTGCCATGTTTGACAAAGAAAAGCAACAGATCTTCACATCTGAGAAGCTGGTTGCAGAATATTTGGCTTTTTTGGAATATTTGTGGCTTTAAAATGAAACCATTCACCCACCAACAAATTAGTTGTTTGATTATTAATCAAGAAAATGCCAAACATTTTTACTAATGTGAGAATGAATGTAATATTTTTATTTTTCCACACTTTTGGCCATACAAAACAAGCAGGGACTTCACCTTGGGTTCTGGGAACTGCAATGGGCGTTTCTCACTATTTTCTGACATTTTATAGATATAGTTAATAATGACCAATAGCTGGAGTGGTAACACTTCATTTTACATGTCTGTAATCATCTAATAATTTCATGGAAAGTATCTTGGAAGGAGCGATGCTTTTTTACTGATAAGAGGGAAATAACTGCTCCAATTAAACCCAAGTAATTATTATTATTCTTAGATGTTGAATGTGTTTAGCTTTAGACAAATTTGACACTGTTGCATGTTTAGCTGTGCTCTGTCTAAAAGAGGTTAAACTAGTTTTGAATTGGAGTTAATTAAATGAACATGTACTGTTTGAATACTGGCTCTATGTGTCCTATAGTCAGTACTGTTAAATTACATTGCTCTTTCCAGGAGCTTTCAGAGGTAATTATTAAACAATTAAAAAATACAGACATCAAATGGAGCATTACCATTACAACCTGAATTTAAACAAACTGCTAAAATTACTTTCAGTACAAGCATTTTTACACAGTTTATCTCCATATTCTGGATTTTATGAATGTTCCAATTAGGAGTGAAACAACTAATAGGGATCACAATCAATAAAAAGTAATACAATATTAGGTTGAAACTTTCAACAAAACAGTTCTATGCACACATTTGTACAAACTACATAATTTTTTTTTTTTTACACATAAATGTTAATACACTGTTACACTGCTGTCTCACCACACAACTAAGTGAATCTATGGAGTGAACACTGATCCAGCATTTTTCTGAAGTGTAACGTCTCTACAAGCTAAAGGTCATGATATTTAATCGCATTCCTCAAACAAGACCTCCGCAACACACAGCTACCGAGTGTCGTAGCTGACAAGGTGAGACAGAATGACACTTTCAGCATCTGGAAAATTGGCAGATATGTGTGACAAGTTCCTGTCTGCAATGTGACATCCGTCCCTGCCCACGGTGCATTATTGCTCTCAATGCACAGATGAGCTGGCATCAAGATGGCCTTTACTCTGTGTAAGTTAATGAAATCTATTGTCTTTTTGTGCTGAACACGCTGCAAGAATCCATGACCATTACCCACAATGCTGTTCTGAGGGACACTGTCAATACTCTCTCCATCAGTGTCAGAGTGACAAAAAGGGGTGAAAGAGGAAATAAAAGACTTCCTGGAGCCAAGCGTCAGTGAGGCAGGAGAATCTGATCACACAGACAGTTACCATCCTGTTCACGCCTGCTTTAATTTCCTATGAATCAGAACAGAGAGAGGAAGGCACCGCCCTTCATCCAATCCAAAACCCAGCAAAGCATCCCAGCATGTTGACACTTCAAGTCATAATATCCACTTCTAAACTGCTGGACATAAAAATGCTTCACAATGTGATACGACAGTGCTAAAAGACACCAAAGCTGCTTTTGTATCCACAGTCTCAAAATCATTTCAACCACATTGCAATTATGGTGAGCAAATATGAGGTATTAAGATAATATACTGCTTTCCATCAAACACATAACTCAGTTATTTCAGCATCAAACGAAGCTCAAACTTTGAGGAAAATACTAACAATGGCCCAGTTTCACTTGTCACTTCAGGTGTATTGTATCCCAATAAATATCCAGATGAGACTCAAGACACATTTAATTTACACTAAGCCACAGAGAAATCCATCTTGGTTTTCCTGGGCTACATAAAAACAGGCTCTAGACACTATGTTCACAGACCACTTACTAAAGCACCTACACTGGGAATATGTCAGCTTCACATATCTGTCTTAGAGAACCAGGTGCAAACATCTGGCTAGCTGGAGGAATTAATGCAGTACAACTAAATTTGCCACATGTTCTTAAGAAATGTCCTAAGAAAAGTCTTCATCTTATTCACGAACACCTTCTTAAAGAACCCCAGATAAGAAAACATTGGTGAATGCCAGAATCTTCATGAGTTTTATGAACAAATTTGTTCATGAGAGCGGTTGATGAATGCGACCCATTGTTTTCATGTGTATAGGCACTGTGTTATACAGTATACTACTCTCCACACCAGCCTTGAAACTTGGCAACCAGAACACGACTACGCTGTCAGAAATGGAAGGTAAACTGCCAACTTCCAAAGATTCAGTCTATTTAACCCAAGTTTTTCTCTTATTTCCCCAGTTCCTTACCGAGCTAAATGTATCCTGTGATGGACATAAACTTGTGTACAAAATATCTGTATAAGCATTTATGGTAATCCATCCACTAACTGTTGGAATATTTCAGCCTGAACTAAAGTGAACTCGGTGACCTGCCATCCCCTGAGCCACACCACTAATGTGACTAAAACTGTAATGAAAAAATTCAATAAAGGGAAGTTCATAAAGGTCTAACTCAGCACAGTTCAGTTTGCAAGTAGGTCACATGTAACACAGTAAAACTATAATTTGGAATCAGATTTCGAACATTTGCGACCCATAAAGTGTGACAGTCACCTCAAAGTCTCGGTAATCGCCCTAAGGAATAAGAAAAACACTGAGTGTCACACTGACACTGAGCAGAGAAATCTGGGAAACTGTCCATGCTGGGATGGGAAGGATCTTCAACACAAAGGCCTCATCTGTTACTCTCAGGTTTTGTTGTTTCACTCCAGCCTCAAAGAATCACACTTCCTTTTGCCCTGCTCAAACAGGGAAAAACAGTAATTAAACCATTTTCATTGTGTTCATGTTCCGTCCTAAAAGCTGTAATCTGGACTAAATGAGCCTTAAACAGCACTGCCCCTTTTAGTAAAAATATATAATTATGATGCTGCAAAATGAACAATTACTGGTACAGAAGGCATTTATAATTAATAGCCTAATAGCAAAAACAAACACACAAACTGCATGGACTGAAAGCCACAAATCACTGTGAACTGGTGAAATAATTGCCAAATGTTACCAACCCTGCCGACCTCTCACCAACATGCAAGGCCCAGCCAAGTTTAAATTGCAGGCTCACTTGGGTGAATCTCACTGCCTAAACTCCAGCATCACTGGAACGCAGACTTAATTCACACATTACTTGCAATGTGTTTGTTTGTTTTTTTCCTACTCTGGTGTAAACAGATCTATGGGGTTTGATATAGTAACTGTTAGAAGTCAGAGAAGTGTTAGAATGCAGATTTAATATGCACATCCCTACTCTCTGGTCTTAAAGGAAAATCACACAAACATCAGGGTAAGAGATGGCCACATCAGAGCAAAGCTGACATTCATACTGCTGCTTCTTTTATTGTTGTTGTTGTTGTTTATTCCTCTAATGAACAAGATGTGTGTGAAAGCATGGCTGGAGCAAAACCAGCCCAGTTTAAGCCGAGACACACCTGTGACATTTTCATCACTGGGGTTAGTTTGACATCTGATGGCATGATGAAATATGGGGATGCTCTGTCATAAACAATGGTGGCAATGCTGTATTAAGTAACCCTAACCCCCGGAGCACAGCACCTGTTTGTTGTGACAGCTTGAGGCCAGTGTGTCTGCTGCATGTGATGTGTTGCT